TATGTCCAAATATCTTCTACAATTTGGAATATTTGAGTATGTCCAAATATCTTCTACAATTTGGAATATTTGAGTATGTCCAAATATCTTCTACAATTTGGAATATTTGAGTATGTCCAAATATCTTCTACAATTTGGAATATTTGAGTATTCCATTTTTTGGAATTAGTGACTAGGCCTTGACAGACCATACTGTCAAGGCAGCTCAACAGATTTCCTATTCAGTACCCAATCCTGTATGTGCCATAGTAAATATTTGAATCCCAGCCGGTGCGTGTAGCTTTTGGGGCAATGAGAACAAAAGGATCCATGGGATACGTGTAGCAAAAGAGGAAGGGATTACAAAGGAAAGACGCCTTCAAAATGCTTAACAATGGAAACAGACTACCAAAAGGAAGATTCTTAAGTTAGCGCAAAGTGACAAAAGTGCAGTGACTTTGGGGATCCCCCTTTATGAGGTACAGCCATTCCAAATGAGTAGTATAGTCAATTTTACAGAGTCATAGAAAATAAAAAAGTATTTAAGCTTCTAGACAGTGTGCCAGCAGACCTTCACATTTTGTGCTATAAATAATTCACCATTGCTGATGAGTGAACAGATGTCACTTTGGTTTGGATTGAACAGTCCTGCATTGATTGCAGATACAGGTCCTTCCCCATTTTCATATAGCCATGAATTCACCTGTGGATCAAATCAAAGATTGACCTTTATGGGGTGCACACTAACAAGTATGGTACCCCTTCCCACTCAAATAATTTGAAATTGACCTGTTCGAATTTGTGTTGTTGCCTGTCACTCTCTCAAGCAAGGATGGGCCTACTTCATCGATGAGCAAGCATGTGCAAACTTTGCAGACTCAGATTGACCTGCTCATTGGATAGGTCCTATTGTTTGGAATTTCAGGCTGTCTTAGCAGTGAGCATCAGGTGTGCAATGAGTACATATACATGTATAGAGTTTTCATTATTGGATGTGGAATGTGGTAGTACACCACTGATCATTCTCATGTAACATGCCACCTGGCCTTGTTTGGTCACCATGGTTCCTGTCAATTGCATGCAACAGCATATAGCTGGTTCCAATCTCAAGATGCAAGTCATAACATATACATAGCTGGTTCACATCTAAATATGCAACATGAAACTTTGTTCTATCAAAACAACTGCATCACAATCCATTTACATTCCAAAACTATGTACAACACCGTATTTCTAGCCTAGGCTCACCAGATGCATTACTTGTGCAGACAATATAGTCATCTTGATAAAGAACTTATTTCTGGTTGGCTGCTCTATCTTTTGGTAAAAATCTGCCCCCCCTCTTTTTTGTACAAAGGGAGTGCTCTTCGGTCAGCATTGATAAATTTTTTTCAGACGCCTTGCAATACCTGCAGTTGAACTTCAAAGGTCATCAAGATATGCTTCTATTCTATTGTCCTGTTGCTTCAAGCTGTGTTTAGTTTGCTTTAAAACTCAATCTATGCGTTGTTTGAGCAAGATTGCTGAATGGCCAAAGTCACAATTTATAAAACCCGGGTTCAGAATTTTCAGAGCAAAAGTGATAAAAATATGTGTGGCCCCCAAACAGAAGTTACTCTTTTATTTCTCACCAAATTTAGATACTAATGTTGGACAAACGGGCAATTTTAGAAGTATCAGTTTTCAGAATATGATTACTTGTGGAAGTTTTTATTGTGAGAAAATAAACTTCTCAAGTGAAACAGTAGGGACATTTTTTTTCATCAGTTAAGATGTGATCCTGAGGCTCATTAAATGCTAAGCACAAATTCACCAAGATTATTGGGTTTTTTACACTCTTTTGGACATGCTTTTAAAAACGATAACATTCAGCAATTTTGTGGGTGTGCTTAGTTACAATTATGAGAACTTCCTTTGTCACGCGACACATTCTTCAAAATTATGATCACTAAACGGGGCTTCTTGTAAAACAGGATTTTTTCATGAAAAATCATATCAACTCCGAACACCTGCCCTGGTGAGAAACAGCCTAAAACATTAAATGGCAATTAAAATGACAGTTTATGATAGGTGTAATCTTGTTTAATTTATTGAACAAAATAAGGCAGTGACATGTGACAAACATATTCATTCCAATTTTTTCTCAACCATGTCTACATTGGAACAACATCAAAACAGTTCCATACAGACAAAAAATAAATTGTGCTCCTCTCTTGTGGACATATTGTTTGATGAACAGCATTAAAAATCCCCCCACCCCGAGAATGATAATGATAAACACTGTCCCTTCTTGCCCTGCCTCCATATTCCTGACCCAGTTGACTACTAGACCAATCCAATAAGCCCCGAACCCTACTAGTGGGCACTTTAGACACACGCGTCTCTCCAATTCCACAATGCAAACTTGAGGCAGTTTTATAGGTGGAACCTCCTCTCCAAATTTCCCCAAGTGCCAAATTTCTCCCAGCTAGGAAAGGATCAGGATCAAAAAGAAATGGACTGTGAGTGTTGGGGAGAGTTTTACACTGCAAAAACTGTGTTTCTTATTATTGTTTTAAACAACTTCTGCTCAGGGTTAATGGAAAGTGTTGCACCTCCCTTTATTTGAAACATAAAATTACATCTACTTTCACCAGTTTGGAGGCTTTGAAAGGGATACATATAAATGCACCATGGTTGTTTTTATAACTGTCAGGCTTCCCAAAATCACAATTACAAACTTTTACTGATACTCTGAATTATCAATTCGCAAGAATATTTATCAATCCGAAATGTTGGTAACTTTTCTTTTCATAATTCCAGACATCAAAGAATTTACAATACAGACTAAAGACGTGGATTTTTAGGTAGAACTTGATGCGATAAAATTTGGCTGATTATTGACAAAGCATTTTGTCACATCAGTTCAAACATGTCATATCTCGCTTTTGGAGTACATGTAGTTTTGAAAAAAATGCATAAAGAGGTCTGTGGCCTCACAGTAAAATTTTTGTGCCAAATTAAATTACAAGAAAATGCAACTTTAGGCAGATAATGTATTTAAAAACGTATTTTGTTTGCTCTTGACTTTGGTATTGTGATCAATATAACATAAATGAAAATTGAATGACATGGGATCAACATACGTTTTAGCTTCATTGATGCGCTATGCATATTCCGGTCAAAATGTTGTAACTCCCCGAGATATGGTTTAACATAACCATACTGTGATATTCCATTACTAATGCATGTACAAGATGTAATCTCATAAAGCCACAAGTTCATCTCAGATTTAACGAGAATTTTCCTCTTCCAAATAAATCCTGTTGTAAAAAAAAAAATAGATAAAAAATTTCATTTTTGCTTGAATTAATTACGTAACTTGCAATATTTTTCAAGGAAATTTGCCAAAAATAATCTTGAAGTCTTCTAAAAAAACAGAAAAATGCCAATTTTCACAAAATTTGGAGTTACAACATTTTTGCACTGACATGAGGATTTCATCTCTCAATGGATTGATTAACAATGTCCACCATTTTTATGGGTGTCTTAATATATCTGCCAAATTGCAATTAACGATTATTAGACGTATATAACATAACCATAACACTTGATGAAACAGCATTTCAACCAATCATTATTTATACAAACATAAATATTTACAAATGGCTGAAGAAGCAACAAAATGATGGAAAGACATTTTACTTACATCTACAGATTCTAAAATAGGCATTTATGTTCAATTGGAATTTTATTGCAAAGAGAAGTGTTTGAAGAAGTATCGGTATTGAAATTCAGGTAATGTACAGTAATAAATCTCATCAGTTACAACAAAGCAAGGTAATGCGATGATATTTACATTGCCTTGTAAGTAAGAAATAAATTCTGTTGGCTGTATACATGTGTGTACACCGAACCCAACAATTACGTAACATTGACCATTGTTATGACCCACAGACATGGAACAAGTACAGTGTGAGGAACAAGTACAGTGTTAGAAACAAGAAACTGCTGATAGTAAATTAATTAAAATAACACCAACTACATGCGCCTATTTCAGATGATGCTCATACATGTATGAAAGACCAGTATATGGATACGTAAAAAACGATTCTGCTATAAAAATTGGAGAAGCGATATCTTAATGACAAACAGTACGTACATGCACAGTAGGCCTCTAAAAGTGATTGTGTTTTTCTACAAAACAGTTCAAGACTGCGAGACAGATTGGTGGACACTTAGCACATAAGTGACCTCTGCATATTCAGCTCTCATGGTGCAATACAGAAATCAATGATAAATGAAAGCCAATCAAAGCTATTTTGTCACATATAAATGCAATGATACAATACAGGTACATGTTCCTCTCATGCCCTGTGCAGAAAGAACCTGGGCCTCAGCAACCACAAACAATGACTGGCTCTTGCTAGTCAGCCAACTATTTTGGTCAGCGTTGTTTATCCAAAGCTTATAAAATTTTCTGTATCATGGGAACGTATGAGTGGGTTTAAAAAATTATCAGACACTTAAATGAGCAAAGTAACAATAGCTTTTCACATGCAAATGTAAATGAGCAAAGTAACAATAGCTTTTCACATGCAAATAAAATCCAATTTGGTGCGATGTACAGAAGAAAAAAACACAGCTCAAAAACTCAATGACATGGGCTCTTTGGAAATTAAACTTGGAAATTAAAAAGAAACTAAAAAGAGTCAGAAATGGTTCTATTTCTATTCTCATTTTTGTATTTTCTTTACTTACCTTACTTCTTTTATGTTACAAATCAGAAATAATTCAATGATTAAATTTGGGAGTGATGGAAAGACGAATGTCCCCTTTAGAGTGGACACAGTGTTAGACTCATAGGTCACTGTGTACATGTACATGTAGGTTTAGCCAAAATCACCTCAAGGGTAATTTTCAAGTTGGATATCCATTAATGGATATCTGTAAATAAACACTTCTCAACTAAAACTGTTTGGTAGAAAGAAGAAATTACTGCTTGACCTGTGATTCAACAGGCCAATATGACATACTGTATGTAACCAAAAAGGTGAAGTTTTAAATATGTACAATTAAACCAACATTACTATTGTGAACTAAAGCAGTAACACTCATTAAAATTTTTTTATTTATATTGAACGTTTGAATGTTTAATTTTTGGAGGACTTGTAGCTTTGAAAAACCATTCACATCAACAAATATTGCATAAAACTTGTGTCTACAAAATATTCTTACAAAAATACTGAACTCTGATCTCAAATTAAAGTTATGGTAAAGTTAAAATTACAATTTCCAAAATTACACTTCTTTCTCAAGGGATTAAATTCCCTGAATTGCATTATATAACTTGAGAATATTTATTTCTCATCAGCTGCTCCACAAATTTGGAAAATAAGTTTCTTAAGATCTAGTGCAATCCAAATAAGGTTCACACATGGAACTTGCCCATGGAGGAAAGACCACACCCCCTTTGATCATGTTGATTAAACTTCAGTGAAGCATACAAACTTTGACTGTAACAAGTAGCATCCTGTTCAGGCCGGTCTAGGGCATTAGTTGGAGGAAGAGCTAGGGTGACTCACATGAACCATCCAACAAACGAACCAGTTACTTACTATCCAAGCCGTATGCAACCATGCATCGTTGAATTACATGTTTATGTGTATGTATGTGTTCAGTCACTATCTGCTTTAGGGTACGCTGTGTGTTCCAAAATGGTTAACATTAAGATTTTTCAATGGAAGACTGAACAGATGTACATGTAGATCTGATAAATGACTCATAGAGTGACGAAAATTGGCTTAGGTATTGTCTTTTGTGGGTTAAGAATTAGGATGAAATCAATTTAAAAACACTTGAGTAAATATAGATCAAATAGTGTACATGTATCAATTCTCTCAATTACGTCCAACCTTGTTAAGTGGTGTCATACAGGTCAAACACTGCAGTGCATCACCTGCACATAAATCTACATACATCTACACCTCCATGGATATACCTCACATGGAAAATCATACAGGCAGGGTTAGTCTCTACATCATCATGCCACCACCAAATGCTGCAGAACTAGAACCCATTATGCCTGAGCCTGATGTTGGTTTGCGAGAGGACAGGTAGTCGGCCATGTTCACTTTCTTCAACTGATTCTGCAAAGTGAGAAGAAGACATCCCCCAATGTAAAAGAAATTCAAACACACAATTCAACAGAAAACCATCCATGTTGAGAAGCATCTGCCTGACAGCAGTGGTGGAACGATGTTTAAAGTGGGAAGGTGGAAGGACAGCTGAGAGACTATCAGGCATCAGCCAATAATAGACTGAGGCATTTAAGCCCCATTCCATTACAGGATCTGCCAAACGTAGGGGGTGGGAAGCCTCCCAGTCAAAAACTGGGGCTCCCCCTGCCAACCCCCCTCCCCTTCTGCCACCAGTGCTGCCTGCAATGACATCACAGCAACAGTCAACTCATTACAGAAAAGCGTGGAATTCACTTTTCAATAAGAATAATAGAAAAGGGGTGTCAGAAACTGGTACATAACAGGCAGAAAGTATGTACATTGTACATACCACCGGTACGTTCCGAAGTAAAACTTTATGCTATCTGTAAGTAGCCTGTTACCAAGTTTCCCCGTACAGAGTTCAGCCAGGCATTGAACATGTACATGTACGTCCAGTTAATGAGACTCACAGAAGCACATGCATGAGCGTAGTGTTGCTTTTCGCGTTGTGATGTGTGATATACAATTTTGAACCATTGTCGTCAGCTGTTGCAGAACGTTTGACCCATGCGCCCTGACTTCCTATACCCTGAGTTCACGATGCCTGCAAAATATTATTTGCCTCATGTGTATGCAGGTAGAGTGTGTACAGTACATGAAGGACCCAACCTGTGCACAAGTTTCTGAGAGGATCTCAGCTGCCGAGCTCATATGAGTGATGACCAGTCTGAACACAAACTAGTACATCATGAGCACATTGTTCAACCTGCAAGCCTATTGGACCAGTTTGTAAGGTCCTGCACAAAAGTTAGTTTTAACCAAAACCTGACAAAAGCCAGAAGTTCTGTACATGAGGATTAACGGTGTTTTGTTGGTGGTTTACCTGAAGTGCTAGGCTACAGATCTGTAGCCAAGCACTTCAGGTAAGCCACCAACCATGCATGCAGGTACCCCAGAATGCGTAGAAGCTACCTCCAAACTGAACATGCAAGAATGCTTTTGCTGGCTATAAACTATCAGATGACTGTTCTACCAGTACATTTTCACGTGAACCATAATAAATGTGAAGCAAGCAGCTGATGACGGGCCTAGGGTGACTATTTCAGAATGTTGATGATATTATCCATGTACATGTACACTGCACACATACATGTATATCCTGTCTGTGCCATACAGAGGTGCTGTTAGGAAGTAACATTTGTCCCTATTAACTATATATTAAAATTGAATGAGTAAGATTTGAAACTTTAATTTGCATGATCCATGGAGGCTAGACTAAGAGAAAGTTTGCAGACCTGTACACTGTGTGGAATCGATCTCTTCTAGCTCTACATGAAGCTTGACTTTTGACCAGGATGCTCTGGTCAAACTCATCTATCCTGAGGACAACCACAGCATCCTGGTCGAAACGTCACACTGACACTCACCAGTCCTTCTTAGAACCACCACTCTTATAAAAAAGATTGAGTCCACATGGTGTACCCGCAAACTTTCTTTTAGTAAAGTTTAATGACACTTCTGTGTACAGGGAAAATTGCATCCACTTGCAAGGAGAAAGCATACATCCAAATGTATGTAGATACCAGTACCCGCGGACGTACATGTATCTGATTATGTTTGAGAATTCTTCACTGAAGTTCACTGACTAATGTAGGGAGGTGGCCTCATGTGTGCGGCACTTGAGTACTTTTGTTTTACATTCAAGGCAAGTGGAATTATACATGTACATGTAACTTTGGGGTTCTTCAAAATTGTCAGTGAACAACCTGGAGACAAGTAAATCATAAATTATGAAGACTGAGGTTGTGTTGACTTCCAGTTTCTGACCTGGTGGCCATTATCTTTTCCTGTGGTTAATCATTAGTACTCATAAGATTGATAAGTCTTATTTTTCTTAACAGATAAGTTCAATTCGGCCACTTTGCATCACTTTTTTGTCCAATTTACTGGTACATACGCATATTGCCAATGAATGTCATTGTCTAGGGAGTACAAAAGTATGACATTTTGGGGGTCTAAGTTTAACCAAAACAAAAAATCTGTGGATGAGGCATTGGAACGGATGTGATTGCTGGGGTGAGTGAACAGTCACAGGTCTGCAACTCTTTACCCAATATTATCCTGCCCCTTCCTCCCATGAGGTCACTTTCAATGAGCTTGGGGCCAGTGTTAGGGATTCACTTGAATCACCGGTTCATATCTACAGGAAATCCACAAAGCACACACATTTGTACCAATTGCCTGTCTATTACAGCTGAAATACATGTATACTGTAGTGTTTTAAAGTTCCAGCTTTGAAACTGTTGTGATAGTTTGAAGGCATCATCAAACTATCACAATCAGCCCAACAACAAATCACCACCTAGCATTATTGGTAAGAAATTTCATGAATGCTCCAAATGCTCCACAGTGCAGGACACCAATGGTACAATGTGCATTGTGCAAATCCTTTGCACATAAACTTGAAGTACACTTGAAGTACTTGCAGAATAGTGGCTGGGTTTTAACTTCTTCATTTTTGGTAAAGTCTCCAGAAACTCACAGTTTCTTTTCAATGTACATATTTGAGGGGAATATGGTTGATGATCCTTCCTTTGTGACAAGGCACTGCAAAAATTTATTTCATAACTATTGGAGGCCTAAATTTCTAGAATAAGCTGGAAGGAGTTGACAATCACGGTTATACCACCTTGCAAAAATTGGGTTGTAAATTACAGAAGTAAGAATCACAACTTCACATTTTCCTGAATAAACCTGTTTTGAGGTTCACAATGCATTATGGGGCTTGGAAGACAAACAAGCCATGAATTTTATGCATAAACATGATAAACCTGTTGTGGGGGAAGTGAAAAGTCAGAAATGACTTACATGTAAGACTTTTCTTCAGAAAATTTTTTAAGTACATGTATCTGCTCATAACCTCACAGATACACGTAAATGTACATATACCGGTACATACATGTACATAGTACATGTACACAAGAAACATTTTCAAAATAACAAACTGATTTTCAAATGTCTGTAAGAAGAAAAAAATCACAATTAACCGGTCACTCTAGGCTAAAAATGAATGTGATTGGTCAATGCAGAATGACTGGGTTGCAAGTCGTGATTCTGATCGGCCAATACAAGCTCATTAATATTCACAATCACAGTTCAGGTGTGGTCATGATTAAAAGTGGTGCTTATGGAAGGGATTAACATTTTGCAGGTATACTTCTCCCACAGGGTCGTGCACAAAATGCACTGCATGAAACAAAACAGGATGCCTCTTAAACCTCATATAAATCTAAATACCAAAATCTCAAAACCTAAAAAAAAAAAACCCAAACTGAAACCAAGAACAAACCCATGAAACCAAAACAAGACACGATCATAAAAAACCCTACCCAAAAGCAAGGAAAGAGAAAACTATAACAACCTCCCCCCCAAAAAAAACCCCCCCAAAACCAAAAATAAATCCAGCAATCCAATAATTGGAAAACCCAAATGAAAACTACAATACCAAAACCATTTCCTTTAAGGAACTCTCTGAGAACAGAAATAGCACATAAATTCCTGTTTCCACCCCCCACCCCTTCCGAAAAGAGGATCATGCTTACCATCTTTTGTTTGTGCTTCTCATGCTTCACATTGACTGGTGGTGGCTTGGATCTAGCCTCAATCCAGGCGCGGTATTTTTGGGTACGAGGAGGTGGGTCAACTGTTTCTGGCGAGAAGCTGACAGTGCGTGGCCGTGATGCGGTCACGATGATTTCTCCTGCATAGCCAAACGTGGCTGACCTTGTGCGTAAACAGGATTTGGTGGGGGAGAGGGGTAGTGGGCTCAGCTGATCATCTTGCTCTTCCTCTTCCTCAATTTTTTCCTCCCTGTTATCTTCTTCGTCTTTGCCTTTTATCTTGATGAGGGTGTCCTGGACGTCCGCACAGGCAGACAGTGACCGCCTTCGTCCAGGCCTGAAGGCTGGGGGAGGGGCAGAAACTGGTATCGTCTCTTCACTGGTGTCAGAGTCGGTCTCCTCTGTAGCGACAACTTCTACATCCTTGACCTCCTTTGCAGGTGTCTCCACCTGTTTGTCTTCTAGATGAGGTTTGTAGGATCCATCAGGGCTGTGCAACTCCTCTCTAATCTTCTTCAGGCTGTCCTTCTTCTTGCTGTTGCTGCTGAAGATCTTGATGCTCAGCCGCGGTTTGGATTTCTTCTTCTTATCATTCTGCACATTCTCCTTGTTGTTTGAAGACATTTTGGTACCGGTACTTGTGTGGAATCTCCAACAGTCTGTACTTCAAAATGAGTTCCAGCCTCACATCAGTGCCTCAGTGAGACAGTCTGCACTGCATGATCGGTCCGATTCTATGACAAGGACCCTGCAGTCGTCATTTGAACTGTAAAATACTGGCAATGACGCTTTATGTGTTTAGACGTTCTCTCATCACGCTGTTACAGGCTCAGCAATGCTTCTGCAGCAACCTGGTATCAGAATATAGCTGGCATGCAAAATACAAAAATGGAACAACTTATCAGTTTGCGCAGTCTAGCAGATTTTGTAGGTTTCTGTGTGCAACGTCCAGGGTACAAGTATTTAAACAATACGTTCACCATAACAAGTTGTTTGACCTCCCACCTTTTATCATTTAATTTTATGGTGTTTCTGTGACACAATGAGAAAATGACTAGGGGTGAAGAAGACTCCTCATTGAAATGGAAATGGGGAAAAAATCAATACCCAACCTTGGTATTGTTACAAAGCAGTAAAAGCACATCAATAGTTGTTAATCTTCACAGGAGAAGTCTTCTTGTGAAATCATACTGTACATGTACATGTAAGAAGTAACTAATGTATGATATACAACTGAGGAAATGCTCCTGTTCCAAAAACTTTAAAAAGAACTACATTTTCTAGAACAGGTACGTGTATTTCTATAACTGGTACATGTACACATGTATGTACGTCTATGTTTAGGCAAACTGTACAAACTGTTGAAGCCCTCTCCCCCAAAAGCAGAACACTGGGTTTTTTGTGCAGCTACACCACAAGCTCCCCTGCCTATTCAAGAGAGGGTGGCCCATCTCACAGATTTTAGTGGCCACCTCGGGCTTTTCTGTTGAATTTCACCACCTCAAACTTACAACAGATAAAGATGAATGGAAAAGGCAACATTTGTGTAGCTTAGATCTTTTGAAATAGATCAGATTAAATTACATGTACTCAGAATGGTAAGGAGGAACACAGAATATAAGATTATTTATTTTACTGGGGAACTTCACAGTAAAAGTACTGTTAGACTATATGGAATTATTCTGGACCTTTTTTGAAAACACTCACTTTTGTTTAGGCACTAGAAGTTTGGTAAAATTTGTCTAACCACCTCACACATATCACTACTTCAGGGGAAACCCTGCAGTACACTAGCCAGCACTCCAAATCATTGACCAGCTCTTGAGGTGAAGATGAAGCTTGCCAACCACCACAAAATTTAATGTACCCTATGTAAATCTCAATATTGAAGTTGGACAGAAGGCTTATAAAAGAACTAAAATGTACATGTAGTATTAAGTATCTCACCTTCCTCTTTTTATAATATTACATGTATTCACTCAACTGGACCACACTGATAATACATCTGCCCAGCCATACATGTAGGAAAAAACCCAGCTGGCACTAAAATGTTTCTACCAATAACCCTAAGATTGTAAATGACTGTGGTTTACCACTGCCCCTGCAGAAATGTGTACACATAATGTGTATTGGTTTGTAAATCATCAAATTGTTAACTGCGCATGAGTACTGTACGTGTATTAGTTCTAGTGCACACACAGTTGGAATACCAAAGATCTAGCATTCAAATTCACATTTCTTTTTAGAAAACCCAACAAATAAATTCAAAACAGAAAACAATAGACCTTCATACCTTAAGATCACAACAAAACACATTGTGACCACAACTGAACTGTTGGTAAAAAGAACTGCAAATGTCTACCGGGTAGAGGTAATGTACAGTAGCCTCATGAGTTTGTGTCACAGTTGCAAATCACTTTTGACTGTTCTCAATCACTTAAAAATAAATACATTTATAGCATTACCAAATTTTGCTTTCAAGATTTACATGTACACTTACATGTATTTCAGTGTGCCATTTTCCAAAATTTGTCTCACAGGAAATCATGAAAAACTCTGGATTTGCTAAAGGAAATGTTCAGAGTGTGATGATACTTTAATTCAGTTTACGGTACGAGGGCATGTATGGAACTCTTTCCCCCTTCCAATTTTGGCGTTTCACAATATCATTATTCACAAGAACAAAACAATACAAAATTGAACAAAATGTACAATAAACAAACCACCCCCCCCCAAAAAAAGTAAGCAGTAGCGGGGACCAGGGACGAAAATCCGAAAACCGGTACATGACAAGACCAATGACATTTATGTGGGTCAGGAACCGCAAAAGTAAAATGAACTACTGTAACCCATGGGTATGCAGCCCCCAAGAGTTTGTAACACATTGGCCAATCACAATGTGCAAAATCTGTCGACCCAATGCGCATTTGGAAATGGTCAACAGATTTTGCACATTGTGATTGGCCACTGCGCTGTAAACTGTTGGAGGCACACTACTGTGGATCACTTGTATTTCCACATTATTCCAAGATGAAAACACGGGTGTCACTAGATTGTTTCGAATGGGGGGGGATGCCACATGAAATTTGCCGACAGACCGTCAAGTGAAACGAGAGTACTGTAGTCTGATTCCCTAGCTCAACACCTATGTATGTACCTGATTTTTTCTTATTTTGCCAACAGACCATGATTTTGCCAACAAAACTAACTGTGATGGGGCATTATGGGGAGTGTGACACCCCCTGACACCCATCCTCTAGCTACGCCCATTGCAGATTGCTGAAAATGTCATTTTACCATGACGATGTGTTCTTATTTCATAGGCCTATGTATGTATGATGTACATGTACCTACTACCTATATGTACATGTACATAGGCCTTACCTAGCTCAGATTGGAAGCCAGTCTTCACTTCATTAAGACTGAGTCTGGGAGTCGACCTGGGCCAGGCCTTACATACCTTATCCCCAGAACTGTGGAGTCCGACAGTTCTGGGGGGTATGATGTAGATCCCAGCACTGTGGCTGTTTTGATTATTTTGATGTACAATTTCAAATTTGATGGTTTTTTTGGCGAGAGGACATATCGCCAGATCATGTCTGAATGTTAAAAAGGTGGTAGCCTGACACTGACAAGGTACATGTACCAGATACTCGGAACACAAACCACTAACCCTGAAGTTCTAGCAGAACCCCCCTGCCACAACGACAGTGCCAGCACATCTGCTATGACTGCTAAGCCTGAGTGCTTAATGTTTGGGAGACTTGTGTTTGAGTTGTGGGCCAAAAGCTCTCTAAAAATCAACCAAAAATATCCATTCGTACCTACTCTGTTCATACAGAAACTGTAGCAATCCAGTCAGCTCTGTCTACACACGCATCTTCGAAGTTTTATTTGTGGGGTGCCGATGGTAGGTCTACTGTACTGCACCACGGATGGAGGGTCCGGGACTCCACGTACGACGCGTTTGTTTACACTGAGTGATTCCGGATATAATTCAAGGAGCGATCGGAGGCGTGTTTTCATTTGTAGACAGACCTATATCGATACTCTGCGGAAAAAAATCGATTCCAGTGGTCGATAATTGTTGGATCGTCAACTGAGAGACGTTTATTACTGTGCGCGCGACGGAGCCGGCTTTTATTTGTTTTGTTTTTTTGCCGAAACGATTTTTCTGATTTTGTGCAGAATTTTACAATTACAGAAAAGGGCCTTATGTATAATTAATAATGTTAGCTTTGTGAGTATAGTAATGCTCTAAAAATCACTGATATATATACTCTTTCCAGTGGGTATTTTCATGTATCAACTCACTGAGTAACTCTCAGCTATACCGCAATCAATTTGCTCAATGTTTTCAAGAAATGAAGATTGTCATCACACGTTCGCACGCACGGCTCGCTACATCTACTGTGAAACACGATGATGTAGGCCCTACGTTATGGAGTCCCGTGGATTTTTCCTTGAAATGTGCATCTAGTTTCTGATTAATGTCTTTCTCACGGGGTTGCAGCAGTCGAGGCTACACGGTCATGTACATGTACATGTGCTATATTTAATATTTGTGTTGTTTGTAAAGTGTTAGCTTTGTGTTCTTGTTTTTGTGGAAGTTAGTTTATTTGTAATTGGGAACCCCCACTCGAGGCACTGCTTTTCGGGGGCCCCATCCACCTAACTTTGTGAAAGTGTTTCTGTAAATTAATATTATGTGGAAAATAAAGTGCACTGAACTGAACATTTAGTTTTTCAGTATGTATAAAAGCCTAATGCGAAATTGCAGATCTTTTGTCCGTTTGATATATCAACGTCACAACTTGGTATTATATTTTAGGTTAATTGGAAAAAAAACTTGTAAAAGTGAAAAAGTAAAAAAAAAAACATGTCTAGCATGTTTAACATATCTGCCTGTGGGAGTGGTTCCTTTTTGGAGACGGCCTGGATTAGCCTTTTAAAAAGGAAGAATGAGGTTCAAAAGTAAACAAAATATTGAGCAATCCCTCCGAACATAGAAACGAAACACTAGCGAGCCCGGAGACCCTGTCAGTCACTTTCAGTCCACATCAAGTAGTCGATGTATAGCCCCCGGCTAGTCTACTGGACTCCTTCCGGAGTGTCCTCAAGGATCGTCAAGGATATGGAGGCAGTCCAGTATACCTGGCCTTTAGTATGGGCTACAGTTGACCGTACTATCTCCAATTTTGCTTAGTCCTGTGGCCTCGTCCCAGTGCTTCAAATCATTGGACTCAAGCCTATGAAAAGTTTTTTTTTTAATTCTGAACGATAAGCTTACTTTCAAAGCCACTTTGAATATCTATTATTCTCTCTTCAAGTCCGACATGTCTCTTTCCATTTTTGTGTCTTTGAACAGTGGAAACACCGACTTGGTCTTGTTAACAATTTTTTTAATCAATGGCGGTCATCTTTAAAATAATAAGGGAAACACATATCTGAAAAAACCTAGACGCTTGACTTGTTTGTGTTTTACTTAGCCTCATATCGATTTGTACAATACCGTTTGGTTTGTGCGTTTATGTGCC